CATTCTGGCTGCACTTCCTCCAGGACAGATCTGTTAGTTCTTTTAGCAGTCCATGGTACTTTCAGCATTCTTTGCCAGCACCATAACTCAAAAGCATCAACTCTTCTTCGGTCTTCCTTACAAAACCTTATGAATAGCAACACCCATGCTTACTGCAGCACTATTCACAATAGCAAAGAGATGGAAACAACCTAAGTACCCATCAACCAAGGAATGAGTCAACAACTGTGGTACATACAAACAATGGAATACCATGCAACCCTAAAGAATAACGTAGAATCTGCAAAACACCACATAATGTGGATGAACTTGGAGAACATTATGCTGTGTGAAGTAAGTCAATCACAGAAGACAAATATTGTGTTAGTCTACAATTGTAAAAAGTCAAGGAAAAGTTTATATATGGAAGGAAAGTGTCTTTGTTGGTTACCAGAGATGGGAGGTGAGGAGAGAGGAAATTTCTAGATAGGTTAAGTGTGTGTGTGTGTGTGTGTGTGTGTGAATACATACGTGTTGTTATTATTAGGTGTCATGGACTCATCTCTGACTCATAGCAAACTCAGGTACAACAGAACGAAACACTGCCTAGTCCTGTGCCAGCCCCACAATCCTGGAGCCCATACCTGAGCCCATTGTTGCAGCCACTGTGTCAATCCATCTCATTGAAGGCCTTCCCCTTTTTCATTGACCCTCCACCTTACCAAGCATGATATCCTTCTTCAGGGAACATGGACCAAAATAGGTGAGGCAAAGTCTGGCCATTCTCACTTCCACGGAGCATTCTGGCTGCACTTGTTCCAGGACAGATTTATTAGTTCTTCTGCCAGTCCATGGGACTTTCAGCATTCTTCACCTGTACCACAACTCAAAAGCATCAACTCTTCTTCAGTCTTCCTCATTCATTGTCCAGCTTTCCCATGCATATAAGGCAATTGAAAATACCATGGCTTGGGTTAGGCCCACCTTAGTCGTCAAAGAGACATCTTTGCTCTTCAGCACTTTAAAGAAGTCTTTTGCAGCAGATTTGCACAGTGCAATATGTCATCTGATTTCTTGACTGCTGCTTCCAATGGTGTTGATTTTGGCACTAAGTAAAATGAAATCTTTGACAACTGTGATCTCTTCTCCATTTACCATGATGCTGCTTATTGGTCCAGTTGTGAGGATTTTCATTTTTTGTTGAGGTACAATCCATACTGCAGGCTGTAGTTTTTAATCTTCATCAGTAAGTACTTCAAGTCATCTTCACTTTCAGCAAGCAGAGTTGTGTCATCTGCATGAATATATGTATATGTATATATATGTTGTTATTGTTGTTATGTGCCATC